GTTTAATTGAATATCCTGGAATTACTGGTTTCTCAGTTCCTGTCTAAATTCCAGAGAAACTCTGCACTTTGGCAAGACGCATCTTTAACAAATTGTTAATTTCTTTTTTCATTCAAAGTGGCATAGATCAAAATTAGAAAGAGTTCACATGTTTCAGCTTTACTCCAGTGGGTATCTCAATTCCTGATTTGAGCCCAGGTGAAATGCAGAAGTTTCTGACACTATTCAAAACATAGTTTATTTTCAGCCTGAAAATATCTAGAAAACTATCTTTTTTTTTTTTATTTCCTTGGTCACAAAAACTCCTAAAAGCGGAGATGTCTAACAGCATCTTTGGAAACTGTAGAATGCTATACTCTGCTAACCCTGAGAAAAGAGGCATTGTGTGGAAAGGGCAACCCACACAGGGCAGACAACTCGGAACCAATTCACTTCTTTGGCACATGTACAGACAGTAAGTAACTCCAAGATAAGGACATTCTTTGGAACTGAGTCCCAAACTGAGTAGATTTCAGAGATAAGGGCAAAAACACAGTGTTTTTGAGGAAGGAAGATCCTATTTCTCTTCTCAATGAGGTGGAGTTATAGACATCCATACAAAAATGAATTTGCATTTTGCTTGATTTGTCCTAAAAGCTACTTTAAAAATTCCTCACTACTTCCTAATTGACGGGGGAAGGCGATTCTGACTCAAATAGTTAATATCTTTGGTTTCCTTGGAAGAAAAACATAGCTAAGATTTGTCATATTTGTCTTGGGCATCTGTTGGTAGTTTATTAAAACCCAAATGACACTTCAGTACACAACCTGGAGAGTCATTTAAATCTTTTCTACTGTCTGGGAACTGAACCCAAAAAATGTTAACATCTTTTACACATTAACGATTTTATCTCATCTACAATTTCCATGCAGTACCTGAGCTTAACAGTAGATGGCTCCTCCTCACTGGTCTTTGAAAGAGTGCTTTGCAACAGTGAACAGAGGGTGCTGATTTAGAACCAGAGTTTGGGGGGAAAAAAGATTGAGACATTAGTGTTTGTGATCTTGGCTTATTATTAAACTCGGGAAAGTGGCACTGCTGAGGCTGAGCAGGTGAAGCTATAACAGCTTATCAAGCCAGCTGGCCGTATTTCCTTACGTCTTAGGTGCTGATCTATGATGAGAATTAAATATTTCATTTTTCCAGAGGAATAAAAATGATCTTCTGAATAATCAAGATCATCATAATCTAGTGAAGTACTGTGAAAGAGAACTTTTTGTACTATCCAGTACAGTAGCTAGTAAGCTACAAGTGACTACCAAACACTCGGAATGTAGTGAGTGCAACTGAGAGAAGAAATGTTAAATTTTGTTTAAATAAACTTAAGCTTAAATATCCCTGAGTGGCTAGCGGTTCCCACAGTGAACAGAGCACAGATATGAGCAGCTCAATCACCATTTATACATGACAAACCTCAAACCAAACTATGGAATATCATCTGGGGAGAATTTTCATGTCAGCATGAAAATGATCTGATACTCATTGAGGAAATTTATTTACAAAGCAGAGTTTTCTATTTATATTGTATTATGTAATGTGATCACTGGTATAATTTTATTTTTTGGTTTCAAATTTTGTAAAAATTGTCCTTATTCCTCCCCCTCCACTCTTCCCCTTTAGATCAATACAAAGATGTTGGCAGTCTACAAAATGTTTTCCTACTAGGCTAAACTTGTACTTTCTCTGTGCTAAACTAATTTGCATTCCAGGTTGTTTCATAAAATTTGAATAAATTGAATGATTTCTATATATAACATACCTTGAGGTATGTTTATAATACACATACAAAGCTGTGGGAAAAAAAGATTGGTCATTAAAAAATTAAAAATTTACTATGTATTATCACTGACTGAATAGGCCAAAAAATGTTTCTTGATAATTAGACATTTTTAGAACTCCAACCTTCTTGATAATTAGAAAATTTTAATACACTTAGAGAAAAACAAAATCAAAAGCAGTTCAAAAAAAAATTAGATCTTGACATGAATTTATCCATAAAGAAATTTCACTTTCCTCTCTTTGTTTCCATGTACCCAAAAAGTAGCTGAACATCTAACTGCATATCATTTTTCCTTCCTTTGTCCCCCCAATACAGGGTACAAATGCATGCAGTGAGAGCGTAACAAAACAAGGCAGTTATTACTGAGCTAGGAAGGCCAAGTTCAACATCTCAGTTCATTTTGCAGACAGTGCAGGTACAGGGGGAGAAAAGTCACTGGTTAGGGCTCCAGATCAGCAGAGGCTACAGCAGCTGTCCTTTTAGGATAATTAAGGGTTGCTCAGTTCTAATTTTTTGTAAATTTAACTGAAGAACCAAAAGGGGAAAAAAAAAAAAGACAGCAATAGTTTTGGAAAAGTGAAAGGGGTGGAGAGGGAATACATGAATTCAACCACTAACAATAAAAATCCCATAAACCTTAACCGGCATTTTCAAGAGTACAATTTGCTACTTTAAGACATCACAACACATTTTAATAGCTTTTCCATTTATTATTTATAGCATCAAAATTAAGATTCTCTCTCCCTGATTCAGGGGCTTCTTCTTCCAAGGAAGGGAGAATGCCTTCCTTTCTCCTATTTCCTTTCCCAGGATGTAGTCTCCTTGGGGGCATCCAGATGTTCCTCCAGAGTCCAGTGCTTCCAGGCAGCCTTTGGAGATTGCTAAGCCCATGACTCCCTGTGCCACACTAGGGTCCTACCCACCCATGCATGGGCACTTCCCTTAACTTCTATCCCTTCACTGTTCTTACCATTTCTTTTTCTCCTTGACAGATGTCAATCAACTGGTTTTATTTGGTCTATTGTATTCCATGAAAATTAACCAGAAGTTAATGTTAGATTCTAAGAATGAAATGCTAGTCATAGCATAAGAAATATGCATTATTATGATAAATAATACTTAGAAATCTCTGTACGAGTACATCCAGAGAGAAAGAGATTAGATGCCAGGCTAGGAGAAGGGAGACATGTAAATGCTTTCTGATGATTCTCTCCTCTCAAAGACAGTAGCCCTCCCCCCCCAAGGATCAGGTGTGGACTGTAGACATAGCCAATAAGATGTCTGGGGGGGGGGGCACAGAGAATGGAGTGAGCCTGAAAATGCACTCTGGGAGAAATAAATTCTAAGAATCTAACTCTCCATTAGACGGCTGGAAAGTACAAAGCCAGTATGCTCAGTAGCCTGAAATGCTCCTACCTCCATGAAAACAAAGGACTGACCACCATGCAGTGGAGGAATGCCAACAAGGAACTTGCTAAGCAGGGGCTGATCTCACTTTTGCCAGACAATCTGCTCCAAAGGCATAACACTCTTTGTAAATGTTGATTTCTGTCAAAAGTGCCCTAAATCCTCATTGGCTCAAGCCCTGCTCCCCCCTTAAAAAAATAAAATTACCATTAATGATAGGGTATAACAAGCTGCCATGCTTTTTTTTTCTGTTCTCAAAGATAATAGTCAAGAATTTTTATTTTTATTCCTTTTTTTTTTTTAAAGAAATCAATCCTGTATTTTCACTTAACCTCATCTGACAAGTTATTTACCCCCCAAGTCTCTAATCAGGCACATATTCTACTGAACTGTAAACCTCCCTGTTTCTGAGCACAGACCACTGAGGCTCAACTACATTTTAAATTAAGGCACAGCCATCACATGCCAAGCACTGGCCACTGTTCTAAGGAGGAAAGAATAATTATTCACCCCATGACTGTACAGACATCATTCAAGAGGGCGACATCCTGACTCTTCCTCTTTATGCACTCAAGACCCTCCCAAGGCCATCAGAGATCATCAGGGCTAAATATAGATCCACACACACCAGCAGTTTCTGCATCACATGATGCTGCTGACGAAGGACTCCTTGGAGACGCGTTCGGCCCAAACACACATACACAAATTTGTATGCATGTTCATCTAAACACACTGTATCTCCTGAATGCAAAGATGATCCTATCCACATTCAGAAGAGAAAACCCATTACTTAGACAATCTTTTTGTGCCATTTACGACACTTGCACCGCTCTCTGAGCTGTCAGAGGATTTAGTTACGATGCCTGTTTACTACAACTGAGCCAATTTGGTTCAGGTCAAGTGGTAAGCAATAGTCCACACACACACACAGGCACACGCAGAGAGAGGCGTACACCCCAGCTCCTGGGTTTCACCCTTGTCTCTCACTTAAGTAGTTCCCAGGCTGCCCTAGAAAGAAAAGCCTCCCACATGCTGACTGCCTTCAAGACCCCCAGGTACCCACAGCTCATGTCAGTTCACCAGGACGGGTGACCTCAGGCGGGCGACACACCTGAGCTCACGCAAAAAGCAAAGCCTCTTGGTGTCTCCCAGGTACGCCAGGTGAACAGAGAGATGACAGGACGCCACCTCGTCGGTGGAGAGCACACTTGTGTTTCCTTGTCCTCTCCTAAGAGTCAGATCTTAGATTACACGGCACCGACAACAAAAATAACAACTCCCCTGCACACATACACACACGCGCGAAAACTGATCAAGAATTGCAAAGGAACAACCTACATAAGCACAAGAAGGGAGCAGGGATGAGAAAAGGATGAGCGCTATTAGAACTCAGACAAATCCTCAAAAACTGCAAAGATATCCAACAGAAGGCCTAGCTGCCGGACCAGGGAGAAAGTACAGGGCACAACGCCAGCCGGTCCCGGCCTGGGTTCGGCCCGGCACCTGTTGGGGCCGGGGCGACCCCAGGTGCTGGCCGGGCAGGGGGACTTCTCTGGTCCTTGGCTTTAACCCGGCTCTTTGTGCCAGAGCTCGCTCTTGTTCAGCCCGGGATCTCCCGCCTCCTTGGAGAGCCCGGGGCAGCCGGGGCTCAGCCTTAGAGCCCAGCTCGCTCCCGGGTCTCCCGGGAGAGCGCAGCGCTCAGCGCAGTCCCGCGTCCCCAGTTCCGGGCTCAGGTCCCTCCCGGCAGAACTGCCCAGTCAGGGGACAACCTACCCGCAGATGGACCCGGGATCCTCCACCTCCTGGTTGTTTTCCGCGAGCTCACAAATGCGACCAGAGGACCTGGAGCTAAAGCGCGCGGGAAGAAGGAAAAAAAAAAACCCGCCTGCCCAGGCGCGTTCCTTGTTTATACTGAAACTACTGCACCGCCGCCGCCGCGCACACCCCCTGCCTCGGAGCGCCGCCTCCCGCCGCCGGCCCCGCCCCCCGCAGGGAGCCGCCCGGCACCGCGCAGCTCCCCGCCCACGCCGCCACCGCCCGCGACCTGAGCGCCAGTCCCGGCGGGCAGGGGACTCCCGCGGCGCGTCCGCCTGGCCCGGGTGCCCGCCCACGCTGCGGAGGCCGGCGGAGGCGGTGCAGCGGCTTTTCGCCGCGCGGGTTGGGCTGGCTCCGACTGAGTGCACCTGCCCGGGGCTGTTGTGCAGTCATGTGTTTGTGTGTGTATGTTCATTAACCTGTGTACTACCTGTAAATACCGGCCCGACTCGTTATACAGTATCTATTAACATAATTATGAGCTAAAGGTTACTGTCTCTGTAACTCTCAGAAGAGAGCTGAGAGGAACCACAGGACATTTGCTCAGCAAGTACTACGCAGAGCCTGAGCGCTAGGCATTGTGCAAGACGCTGGGGTACCCTGGTGGCAAAGTAGGCTGGTCCCTACTATTAGGAAGCTTACAGTCTAGCGGAGGACAAACGGTAGGCAAATAATCGCTCAGAGGGTAAAATTATGGCTCTTAGAAGCTGCAGGAAGAAGGGGAACCTGTTCTGTGAAACGTGGACTCTGGGAGCGAGGCAGGGAGGCTAGTTCTCAGCAACGGCTGTGTTGTTGTGGCAACCGCATACCCATCCTCTCTTGGGATGCTTGATAACAATCTTAGAAAACAGATAAATACCTCAATATTTCACCTTGTACCCAGAAAGGGAGGCTGGAGGGAAGACATGATAGAAGCAGATAAGGAGAGAAAGACAGACTCCCGTGGAAAGAAGAGATTTATTGTCAGGAGACTATCTTGCCAGCTCCGTGGCCCTGAGTAGGTAAAATAGGTTTTATGAGCTTCGGTTTTCCCATATATAAAACAGTACTTTTCACACCTGTCCTTTAGAGCTATAATTAGGATTATTGAGAGGGAGGAATCTTTTTTTGTTCCTGGCCCTCCGTCCCTCACCTCCTTTCGTGGGTGGAAAGATTCCCGTTGAAGATCACTTTACCTATTAGCTGGTTTGTCCCCTCATTTCCTTCACTTATGCCTCTTCCCGTTTTTTCTTCCTTATCATACTCCCTCTTTCCCTTCTATAAGTGGGCCTGCCTAACTCGAGCCTTTGACTTAACCTTAGTTTCCCTGCAGTCCTTATGAGAAGCTATAAGCCACCCGGGCTTGGTGGCGGCCAGCCACGCAGGGTTAAAACAGAGACTTGGGTGGCCCAGGTAGCTGCCGTGGTTTTTCCAAACTCAATATTCCATCCCGGTTCTGTAACAAAGAAGCCATATGATGCTGGGCAAGTTATGATATTTACGCTCCTGAGGTTCTGCTCTTGTAGCAAGAAATTAAAAGGATTGGACTAAGTCAAGATTTCTTAATGGAAGTATCTAACTTAGCCTTTGTAACTTTGGGATAGACACAAGATTTTGCCCAGTTTTACTTTCTAAAATACTCCCACTTGAAAAGGACATTTATTTTAAATCCTCAAGGTGTAATGATACCACAATAATATTGATGCAATCCTTTTCCAAACCACACGTCCGCTCCCCATGCTGGCAGACCCCTCAGGGCCCTTTCCAGCTCCCTGAATGAAAAGTATTATTATTGCATAAAGAGACAGTTCCACAGCCAGGCATCATGAACCCCCAGCCTGTCTCTGTCATGCTGCCACCCATAAAACCTTAGGAGGAGGACAGGTCCAGTTCACTGATCTGAAAACTAGCATCAAGGTCAATCAAGTAACTTCTTCACAGGGTATAGAAAAACCTACAAGAGATAATACAGGAAATGGGTTGGAAAAGATGTCCCTCAGGGAAACCTTAATGACCTCCCTGTTTAAAACTGCGCTCAGCTCCTCTCTCTCTAGTCCTTCCCTGCTCCCTTGTCTCCTCCATACGACTTATCACCACTTTACACAGTGTATTCTCCCCTTGCTACTGCTTCTCTCCCCTCTCTGCAATCTAAGTTATGTCAGAGCGGCGTTTGCTGCTGTTGTCATCGTAGTTTTTGTTTGGCTGCTGCATTTCTTATGTCTAGAATAGTGTCTGACACATAGTAAGATCTAAATAAATTTGTTAGTTGGACAAACGAATGAATGGATGTCTACCTCGTTGTAAGCACTCAATAAATAACTGCTAGTATTGTCATGTCTACATTATTCTCTGTCTATCACCAAAAAATATGATTTCCATTCTTTATTCCTCAAAATTTCTCTCTGGTGCCTTAACTCCGGTGGTGAAACCTCTGACTCTGTAAATGCCGGTAAGCTCAGGAATGCCAGTCAAACTGATGCAAACGAAGGCTTGAAGTGCACTGCTTCACTCCAGTGCCAAACAGCAGTCATGTCATTACGTTTCTGCTTTATAACAGGACCTGTGCTAGGCAGTATTTTCCTTTTCTAATCTTCTTCTATCTCGGGTGTACCAAATTAGAGCAATCATCATGACTGATCCAGGCACAACCCATGTTATTTTATTTTATTTTATTCTTATTTAGAGATGGGGTTTCGCTCTTCCTCAGGCTGGTCTCCAATTTCTGAGATCAAGCATTCCTCCTGCCTCGGCCTCTCAGGGGTCCAGGATTATAGGCACGAGCCACCACGGCTGGCCTCTTTCTTTTACTTTAATCATTTTCATTTCCCACCTCAAATTCCAGCGTTCACCACACCGTGTTTCTGTGAGTTTTCAGCCGCCTCTCGGGAACAAGGAGGGCATTGTGTTACGGGCGCACAGCCTGAGTGTACCTACCTGAACCTGATTGTGCAACCGTCTCCCTGTGTTTCTCATTGTTTTCCCTCCCCTGTGCTCTGACCACCTACCCAGGTGGATACGTACTGATGTTCACTCTTTTCATTCGTTACTGAGTGTTTCACCATGTCTGTGATACATTTTTTACTTGGATTACCTTTAATCCTAAACAAAAGCCTGAGAGGCACTATTATTTTTATTTCTGAGATGAAGTAGTGAAGTTTTGGAAGGTAAGTCACTTTCCAAGGCCACTCAGCTGCAAAAGCCGTGAACTAAAACCATATACCTTTGATTCCAATTCTCCTGTCTTCTCACTTCGTAAAATTAATTCAATTGCTTACTGCTGACATTTATGAGATAATCCTTAAAACTAGCAGATATGTGTATTTAGATGAGAGGACAGTTGTTTCTTTGCAAAGCAATGTTATTTGTCTCAAAGACATGAGAGTTTTCTTTAAAGACGTTAGTTTAATCTATTATTTGTGGTCTGTGATTTCCTTAAAATACTCAATACTTACATGAAAATCTCGCAAAGCATAACTGTCTTCAAAAATTTAAAACTTACATTAAAGAGGAATCAAGTGCCAAAATGTCAGACAGGTTTAAAAGGGGGAGCATTGCAAGGAAATGGAACAGCTTTAATGTAAGAAAAAACAGTAAAGATGTCCAAAGTGGAATGGTGACCTTACTCAGCAATGAATTCCCTCCCTCTGAATCTTAAAGGGCCTTGTAAAATGGCGAGCAACTCCCCCAAACACTTCAACATTTCCTCTGTCATTTATTTTCTCCGTGTTACTTGGGAATATGGAGATGAACAGTTCAAGAATATGGAATCTTAGCTCTAGTTTATAAATGAAAGAAAACAGAGGCATCAGTCACCCCAGTCATCAATGTGGACCACAGCCTGGGCCTTCTTACCTTCAAAACCAGGGAACACAAACCCACCTTTGATTCGTGTGAGGTACATTGCGTCTCTTGTGTGCTAACAAAAGATGATGAGGTCTTAGGCCAATTAGAGCAGCCCAGCTCCAGCCTTGGAGAAAACCCCTTGTCTCCCCCGCCACAGACTATGGTTTCCTTGACTTCCCTTTCCTGGGCATCGGAGGCCCTAGAGCCAAAGTGGGAAAGAGGCCCCTTGGTGTGTTTTGGTTTCACGCCCTCTTCCTGCTTCTAGCCTGAGTACAAAGAAGTCTGCCCATGGGCTGATCTAGCATATAGGGGACTGTCCCGGAATTTCATAACTTCATAGCAATAAAAAGTATGTGTGTGTTTGGCATCAACCTCTGTACATTCGTATTCCTGAAGCTTGATGGTAAGAACAACCAAGGCAGGACGTAAAAGTGTCCATACTTCAGATGCTGACTGAGTTCCTGCTCAGTGCTGTCAAATCCCTTCATAACTATACAACGATCTCTGCGCCTTAGAAGAAATTTCCGTGGTAAAACAAATAATCGGGTCATCCTTGGAATGGTCATCTCAATAATAATTCTGACATCTGTTATAATTTATGATGTTTCTTCACATCCATTATCTCCTGGAGGGAGAGCGGCGGGTCTGTGAGGGTCATTCATTTCCGACAGTGGTTGGTAAAGAAGGCATGTGACTTCCTCTTCTGGGGTCACTGAAAAGATTACAGAGAGCCATCCTTGTACACTTGCTGAGAAGCTACTCCTAAACTGAAGGGAATTGACAGAAAAGATGATTTCAGGGAGTCTCTTTCACATATCCATGTGACCCTTTATCACCGTCACTTTTTATCTCCCAGACCCTAAAGTTGTACAAAAGAATGTAATGACTGAGGGCGGTGCCTGTGGCTCAAAGGAGTAGAGGGCCGGCCCCATATGCCGGAGGTGGTGGGTTCAAACCCAGCCCTAGGCAAAAACTGCAAAAAAAAAAGAATGTAAGGACTGAGTGGGGGATCCCACAGTAGATGTCCCCTAAGAAGATGTGAAAAGTTACTGTGTCTTCATTTGTAGGCAGGACTGTTGAAAGGGCACTTTATTATTTTTCCTTTAATAAGCATTAACATTTTACTCGTGTGTCAATACTCATTTGCTCTGACAAAGTAATTATTTACAACATCCTCAGGAGGAATACTGATAATGAGAAATATTATAACTTGACCTGGTTGCGAGGTCATGAGATAATCAGCCTCCTCATTGATTAGACAGTTCATAGCAACTGATCTTTTCTGCACCAACAACGGAA